TGACCCTCTGAAAATTGCCATGCTTAAACTTAGTTTTGGGGGGTGGGGTGAAAAAAGTGGGTACAGTGTGGACAAGGTGGGTTATATTTTTAGTTTGAAAGTCTTGGGGGGAAGAATATTGATCAACAAAATACATCATACATGTACATAGTAAATATATTGCTAGATAAGAGTATAATAAGCATATATATGAGTGACGAAAATGATAACTGAAAATCTGCTTCGAAAGCTGGAAAAACAGAAAATTGGGCATAAATCCCTTGAAATACAGTTTTATGGCATAACATTTGGCAGAAGTTAAAAGGGTCCTCAGGCAAGTATTTCAGCCCAATAAGGTCAAATTCTGTGAACCCCCACCTTGCCGCACTTGTCTGGTGCTTAAAAAAACTGGCACTTAATTTGATAAATACTGTATTTCCATATTACTTTTAACTTTCTATTCACACTAGCACATACCTTCATTTCTCCCTGCATTCCCCATCCTCCCATGTCCCATCCATGCATCCCCCATCCCCAGCCTCCAGTCATCTGGTTCTGATCTCCCATGGGGTAGCTCCCTTCTGCACCACTAAAACCTATTCACAGAGAAAGATTTGGTGACGTAAAATACTAAATGACAGATGAAACCACTCTAAATAAAAAAAATATATATTACATGCTTTTACATATATATATATATATATGAATTTTCTAGTTTGAAAGAGTGACCTACAACAAATATGCTTAATGTATATTAAACCTTTTCCCAATTTTGTTTATGAAAATAATTTCAGGGGCGGATTTAGGCCGTCTTCTGGGTCTTCCGGAAGACGGTCAGATTTTTAAGTTAACATTGACGGGTATCCATTTTTTTCTGTCGGAAGACGGTCAAAAATGGAGGACGGATCAACAAAGATAATTTGGAAGACTGTCAGAAAATATCTCTGGATCCACCCCTGAATTTCATCTGACTTTTACAAATAAAACATAATCAAAAAACAAAACAAAACTGCATTGAAGGATTTAAAAAAATTGCAGTTCACATTGTTCTATTTACTGAGTAACAAACTAACTTGTATTTTGGTTTCCATTTTCCACAGCAACATTTGCAGCATGACCTTGGCCACCGTCAGGTGGTGCTGCCTGATTCTGATTGCCTTCAACAGGTTGGTTCCCTTGCTGTGCTGCTTCCAAATTGTCCTTCTGTGATATCCACTGCTTTGCTAATGCTGCCCAGTCAACTTAAAAATAACAACAATTATGCATTAATCATAATTGCAGAAATGAACAGAGCAACATACAATGACTAGTTTTCAAAAAGCCCCTTTCTTCTTTAAGATTAAATGTCAAAGTGAAGTGTATAAACAAAATTTATTGCGATTTTAATATTTTATCACTTCATACCTTGCTCATGTGGAATATGTTGATAGGCAGCTTGTTGAATGGGCCATGTTCCCCAGCCCCCCTGTGCAGCAGGCCACATTGTGGAAAGTTATTATCTCCCTCTTCAATACCTGTAATCTAACATCAAAGACACTATGCTCAGAAGAAGATATGTGGTAAGAAAGATCACATTTTCCTTTTCCAAAATGGAACTAAATAAGGCAAATCTACAATCAACAAGTGACTGCAAGTAACTGACTATTTGAGAGAAAAAATACAACATCTTCTCAACAAGAGCAAGCATGGATGTGGCAACCCATGCTAAATATCTAATAAGTTTCACAGTCAGCTTCAGATTAAGAACTTTTTTGCAGTCAAACCAGTTGAACACAACCAGGAGTAGAGTCAGACTGAGTACATATATATATAAACTAGTACATACATATAAACTAGAATCACAGCACCCGCAAAGAACTTCACTACCAACTTACACCTAAATAAGCATATATATGGCACCAATACTATACATGTAATACATAACAGGCCGATGAAAGAAATAACAGTGATTCCCTTTTAATTCAGTCAGTTCCATTTATCATGTATTTCTATTCAACTTAAAAATATAATCTACAGAAATTCTCTATGACTTTAATGAGATGGTGAGATTTGTATTCATCCTCAAAATAATTCAAAATACACTTATAAACCCAGTGTACATACAACAGGGTTCCCAGCATTTTATGGTGACATTTCCTGATCATAAAATAGATCCATTTCTAGCATTCCTACTTCAATAAACACCTATTACAGGCCCAAGGCATTCGCTATTTGGTGTGGGCACAAGTCGAGAAAGTCTGACCAAACATTAAAACAAAATCCCCTTATTATTACTTTTCTCAAATTCTGGTTTTTCCCTGACTAGAAAAGGCGAAGTCACTTTCCAGGGTTTTTCTGATTTGTAGAAAGGTTGGGGACCCTGATACCACTGTCAATTGACGACCCACAGATCAACTGCTTAATTTATGTACTGTACCTCGAATCATCGACAAATAGTTAATGTTTTTTCTTCTAAAGTGGCGGTAAATAATGAGGTAAGATAATGCAATTTAATTAATACCAAGCTACAGTAATGGAATACTATTAAAGCTAGGCTATATCTTCGTTACGTAAATATTTACCTTCAGTAGATGTAAAAATATACCATTATTTGCAAATCTTTATCTCGAAGAGCATTGTTGCAAACATGGCTTCCTCTACATTTTCCCATAATGCTATTCGCATTTCAGTTAACATCCGGTCACTTCCGGAAACCATGGGTTCCCTCAATGTACATGTACAGTGTGTTTTCACAAGGCATTTGCACCGTATCCTCAACTCAAAAGGTGTCACTTTACATGATGCATTCTTAGTGAGAAATTTTCACTTGTCTAGAAGGTAAGATCGTCAGATGAAAATACTTCGGCCCCCAACGGTCTCAAAACATTGTCTCGACTGAATAAGTTACCGTTACCAGCAGTACATTGTACATGTACATTGTACATGTACATCACAGTACAGTACTCAAGCTTTGACAATCTGTACCTGAGGCAACTACGCAGACAGCTTAGGTCAGCTTTGCTTGGCTGTCACCTTGATTGGTTAACGGGTAACTTACCTTTAAGCTATAGTAAAAACTACACAAATCATGCGCACTATAGTGTCTAGGTACTGACGAAAAGTGCAGTGGGACAGTTATTGAAAATTTAACCCACCTCATTAATGTCTACTACATATGCCATATAATATGGTGGACTCTATCCTATTCTTTTACCAAGAGGTGTGTGTGTGTGTGTGTGTGTGTGTGTGTGTGTGTGCATGCGTGCATGAGTGAGTGAGTGTGTGTGTATTAAATTTGTTGAAGAAGTTGATATTAATTTAATAATTTAATTATATGTTTCTTTCTGCTGTTTCAAAGGGACTTTGTTCAAACACACGAAGGAACTCATTATGGGAGCACAATAGATAAAGATGAAATAGAAAAGTTTAACAAACTTGCCAATAATTGGTGGAGTGAAAATGGGGAAATGAAAGCATTACATGCAATGAATCAGCTGCGTGTACCATTTATAAGAGATACTTTAGTGCCAGAGAAGTCCATAACATCCAGTCCATTAAAAGGTTTGCGGATTCTGGATGCAGGAAGTGGAGGTGGATTTCTGAGTGAAGTATGTTTGTCATTATTTTTTATCTTTTCTCATTTCACTACAATTTTGTTGACTCCACTGAATGGCAGTCTTGGCAGATGTCACTTTTTTGTCCTGCACTGAGATTGAGATCAAGTATGAATTTGATACTTTTACAATATTTATTGCAGTGTGTCGAATGCTTGTTCAGCATAAATCCAACAACATTTGTAAATCCATGTCATAGCTAAAAAGATGGAAGGTAAAATGAAGCATTAGCCCACCAGTTTACATTATATTTCCATTCTTTCTTTTCATCAAATCTTTTCTAAGGAGATGAATGTACAATGTTGTTAAATTCCATGTAAAGACACTATACGTAATTGACAGGCAGTGGTGGGTACACAAATATCAGTTGTTATGGTGAAGGAAATAAAGCATGACCCAAAAGTAAATTGTTAATTTTGTTAATTTCAGCCACTTGCAAGACTTGGTGCAACTGTTGTTGGTGTAGATGCTTCAGAAAAAAACCACAGAGTGGCTAAGCTACACAGTTCTCATGATTCCAGTCTAGAGAAAGACCTGACGTATATAAACTGTGAAATAGAGGATTTACTACCAAAGGAAAAGGGATCATTTCATGCAGTTGTTGCTTCTGAAATCCTTGAGCATGTGGCAGATACAGAGACTTTTGTCAGAGCCTGCAGTGACTTAGTTATGGTGAGTATAGACAATTTAACAAAACTGTCATTAATGCCAATATTCTTCAGCCTGAGTTTCAGTGAACAATTGGGAATCTGCAGGCCATGGACGTCGGTAATATTTTAGGCATGGAATTTTATCTCACAAAAAGGAAATCATATGTAAACCCCATTTTTGTTTATTTATTTAATTATGCTCAATGATAAGAAATAATAATTCACTTTTGTAAACATACTAGCACTTATCCTTATCTTTATTGCAATTCTTTTTTTATTTCACTGATAATCATTGGTAGACATGTCTTATTACTGTTCAGATTATTGGTGGGTGGGTCAGTTTGCTTCTCTACCATTCATACATGTTTCGCATAGCAGTCATGTATTGTACCTTTAAAATTAGTGGTTTTATATTTAAAAATATTATATTATTATACTTGTAAATAGTGTTGAGACTTGTGTACTGGGGTTTTAAATCAATGTCGATTTTTATTATTAAAATTGCTGATATAATGTCAGTAAGACTATTAAGCTTTTTTACTAAAAATATGCAATTAATAAATGAACTAAGATTAATGTAAATCACTTGTGTATGTGAGCACTAGGTTTCTGCCTACTGGGGTAGTTTCAGGTATGATTTTTGACTTTTTTGTAAGAAGGATTCCCTTGGGGTAAAAATTCAGTAGCATTATTTACTTATTTATGTGCTGTTTCAAGAGAAACTTATCTCTGTCACTTATGTTCAGTGTTTTTATAATGAATGCAGTGAATATTTTCAGTTTCATTTAAATGCATAGTTTTATTTTCAGCCTGATGGCTCATTGTTTTTTACAACCCTCAACAAAACCAACCTGTCTTATGCCTTGAGCATTGTTGCTGCAGAAAGACTTCTAAAAATAGTACCTGTAGGAACCCATGATTGGAGTAAATTTATAGATCCATTAGATTTGCAAGACTTGTTAGATAAATGTAAGTATAAAAAGGAGAAATAAAGTTGCAACTAGTTGCGATCAGATATTAAACAGGTAAATACAGGGGTAACTATTGTACTGGTACACATATTTTATATTAATACATGCAGATGCTAAAACCCAAGTAATTTGTTAATAGTGTGATGTTAATGTTAATATGCAAAACAAATGTTTAAACTGGCCAGGAAAAAATAATCTTTTTAAATATGTTTGAGTAATGCAGCTCTTTTTGTCACAATTTTGTTTTGGGAATAGGGGATACATTTGGTGAGGCAAAATTGTATGTCCTATATTTCAGATGATTGTAGCACTCACCAGGTCCATGGTATGTTTTACAACCTTCTCACAAACAGATGGGATTGGATTAGAGATACCAGCATTAATTACATGCTTCATGCAGTAAAGCGGACTCCTGACAGCTGAGGCTCCAACCTGTTCCAGGATAGCTATCCAGAGCTAGGAGACCTGAATATTTTATGGCAAAATGCATACTTCCTCAGGAACATTATAATAAACATATGCTTTTGATAGAACTATTTTTCACCAAAGGGGAAAATCATGAATAAAGATTGCAGTCTATTTTCATAGACTATCCATAAATATGCAGCCTAAAATGTTGGGAAAATTTAGGGAAAAAAAGCTTGTCATCTTTCCTGATTAACATTGTCAGTCTGCCAAAAGATCTTTAGCTGCCTCATCCTCTCCAAATATCAACCATCTTAACCTCTCCTTAAGACAGTTGAAATGTAAATAGGCATATGATAATGCCTTTTATCATTAGCTAAG